AATCTGTCTATAGTCTGAGCTCCATTCTTGTAATATATTTGTAATTGGAATAAGTTTGTAATTTATATCCAGAGAAGTCCCTGGAGGCTTCTTTAACAAATTAATAAAGATATGAGCAAAACCTCATCTTAAAAAAAAAAAAAAAAAAAAAAAAATTATCTATTAACTATTAATAAACTAATTATTCTAATATTTATTTATTATAAAATAAATTTATATTATATAAGTTTGTTTTTTATTATTTTGAAAGTGATTTTTTTTATAAAATGTTTTTTGAATATCTTTTTATATTTTTTTAAAAATTCTTTAGACTAGTAAAGATATAATAAACTAGTCTTAGTCTTTGAAAAGTAACTATAGCCTCTTTTTGGTTTAAATAATTAATCTAAATGCAAACTATATTGTTCAAACCAGTATATATGATTTATATAAAATTATAAAAACTATAGTTTGAACTAGTTATTAAACTGGTTCAGAAATGGTTATAACCTTATATTAAATGCTGCAGTTGTAGTTAATATGCATTAATTATAAATAATTATATGTGTTAATAAAATGTTTTAAGCTAGTAATTGGTATTTAAATATAATTAAAGAAAATAAATATAAAACATTCAATTATTATTAAATGTTGCTAAAGTAAAATACAAATCAAACAGTTTATATTTAAATTTGTTGTTAAGCAATGCTCTTATTATCAACAAAAACTAAGAAAAATAATTAAAGTGCTATCAAAAGAATTAAAAATAGCCAAGTATGAAAAACTTATATAAAATATATAAATACTTCAGTAACTTTTTATGAATACTCAAATAACAGTTTTTATTACTTTGAATCAAAGTTCATTTTGATGCAACTTGATTTTAAATATATAGCAGATAATTGATAAAAAAATCAAAAAATTTTGTATTTATAAAAGTAAAATTTTAAGTATCATATGAGTTTAAGCTAAACAAAATTATATATTTTGAAAAGTTTTTTATATATTATGAGGTCTAACTGTATCAGTATAGTTTAAACTATTTAAAATTAAATTTTTTTTTTTATTTTTTTATTTTTTATTTATTTTATTTTATTTTTATTTTATTTTATTTTATTTTTTATTTTTTATTTTTATTTGAGACAAACTAACCTTAATATTATATGGTAGTTTATATATAAATTTAATGTTTTTATAAAACTTCAAAGTTATACAGTTATATATAAACTTAATGTTTTTATAAACTGCATTATATGGTATCTATGATGCATAAGCATTAAAAAGTTAAAAAACATTCTTTGGTTTAATGCTTGATATTGAATTTAGTTAAAATATAGTAATATAATAACATTATAAAAAAATAGAGATATTAAATGTTTTACATTCAGTAACTCTATTATTTTAACAATTATAATAACTATTCTTTAATTAGATCTATGTTGAATTTACAAAATTTTTTTGTTTATTAAAATAATTATTATTTCAGTATATTCTAATTTACTGCATATTCTAGTCATTACTAAAATCTTGAAGGTTTCTTAAGACTTTAATAGCCAAATCTTCTAAAAAAGAATTATGCATAAGTAAATCTTCAAGTAACATCTTTTCATTATTTGTTGTATGTCTATATTGATGTTTTATATTAGCATTCTTTGCTTGTATCATATTACATTATTATCTTCAGTATCTCTTGGTAATAAATTATTTGCTTGTTGGTTTTGCCTCCTACTTTGATTATCTGATAATAAATCTGCTAATCTATGTACTACTACATTATGCTTATGATATTCTTGTTGATTTGAAAGATCAATCTTATAAACATCTTGGTGCTAGATTGCAATAAGTCAGAATATTTTACAATCATAACATAAAAATAATTTTAAAAATCCTGCTAAAATATCTTTTGTGCACTTACAAAGATTTTATGAGTTTTTGAATTTGTTAATAAAAAGATAACAAATAACTCATCAACTAACTTCTATAACACTTTCTTTTATGATTGCACTGTTTGTTTTTCTTTAGTTACAATTATATCACCCATGTATTCTGACAATAATAGCTCTAATCTCTCTCTTTCTGCTTGTACAGAACTTATTTGTAACTTTAATTCTTCAATATTCATTGTTTTTTCTCCAATATTTTGTTTTACAAATTTGATACCAAATCATTTTAGTGTTTTATCAAATATAAAGTAATGTCTAGGTTGGGTGAGATTTACTAAACAAACACATTTAAGCAATTTCTAAAATTGCAGATTATCTTTGACATATAATAAAAAACAGGTTACTGATTTAGCACAATTATTTTTTTCTACAACTGGAAATAAAGAAGAGAATGCTGCAAGGTTTTATATTTGCATTTCATAGTTGTCATATCTAATACTAATTTTGTGTCCTATCCAGTAATCTGTCTAACAAAAATAGCAATACCAACTTTGAAGACTTCATTTTCTTTATCATCAATTTTACTCATTGTATAATTTTGGATTTGTAAATATTTGTATATTACAACACCAACACCAATCTAAATTAATTTCAAAACATAACAGATAGCTTGATAGTCTCAACCTTTTCTAATTTATTTAAAAAATATACTTTAAGTTTTGTAGTCATAGTTACAATACTATAATCAGAAAAAATATTTATCAATATAATGCACATAGTACGAAAAGTATGCCACTAGCCTAAAAAAGGTCTTATAGCTTTATCTTTATTTTTTTCTTTATAGAAAATTAGTCTACAAAATATTGCATTATTATATGCAATGCCAAGATTGCTAGTGTTTATTATTCCTACATTATTATAATATAAATCATATGCATGATGAACATTTGCATCACAATTTGGATTATTTTCTGGTTTGAATATAATGACTTTTGAGTATAAAACCTTGCATCTAATTGGTACTTATTGTGTGATTTCATTAAGAATATTATCAGTGTTCTAGTTATTAGTATATATGATTAAAAAATTTTGAAAAGTTGATTTATAAAAAGAAAGAAAGTTATCTGTAAAAGATGAAGTACTAAATATAGACTGATCATTGTTATTTTTAGAAGAATTATTGTAATTAATAGGATTACAAGGTTGAAGTTATATAGGTATAATAAACTAAAACACTATTCTTAATATAGCATGTACTAATTTGCAAGTTGTATCAAATATATTGTCATATAAAAAAGTTTTTTTAATAAAATCTATATTATCAATTATCAGTATATTCCATATATTTGTACCTTATAATAATTTACTTTCAGGTTTTGTATCATGTTGGTGGGCTTTTTCTAACAATCTTTTATATTGTTGCATATGTGATACCATATTTATTATACAAAGAATATTATAAAAAGATTGATATAGTTTTAGTTTTTAGCAAAGTGAGTTTATAATATAAGTTAGCCAAATACTAGTATTTGGAAATGCAATATTTAACACCATAGAAGCAAGAAATGCAGTTATTTTGTTTACATAACCTATATCAAAACTCTTTAACAGAAGGCCTTTTTGTTTTCTTTTTTTTGTTAATATTTCATGCTTTTTTTTTTATAATGTTTCGATAAATCTATTAAAGAAGTTTACTATGCATAAAAAAAAGCCATCTAGATAGTTAGCCAATGATGCTAGATTTGTTAACTTTTCTTTGTTTTCTTATATCTCACATTATGATTTTTATGTTATGTTTCCAAATGCTTTTTCAAACTCTTTTGCTGTTTCAAAAGTAATATTATATTTAGAACTTATAATTTTTTCTATATTAATATGTTTTAATCTTAAAGCAATTTTTACAAACAAGAGGCTAGGATAATCTACAATAGTTGAAGAGGGTTTAGTATCATAAAATGTTGGAAATATAAAGAGAAAACATGTTAAGGAATTTATTATTATTATTATTATTAATCTCTGCCATTGATACAATCTAATGATCCAAAATCTAAAGTACTTCATTTGTATTATTTTTATGTATATCTGCATATTCAAAATCTGGATTATTTTTATGATGTTGTTATTTATAAAAATTCTTTTCACTAATAACAAAGTATTCTGAACAAATATATCAGAGTTGATATTCAGTTTTCTAATTACTGCTAATAATATTTTTTGACTTTATATACTTAAATATAAGACAAACTTTAAGTTCAACACAAGAAATTTGAATATTTTTTCTAAATACATTCTTTAAATATTGTATACAAGTTCCATCTTGACTAAAAAACGCTTATATTTGTTGCAGAACAAATAATAACAATGAAAAATTCTGCTTTTTTCAACAGATCATATCTGTTTGATACTTGAAAGATGAAGCTGGTTTTAATCATAAAGAAAATAAGGATAACATACACCTATTTTTGATAGTTTATTATTTGTTTAAGCTTACTGAAATATTTCAGAATCTATCTTTTAGAAACCAATAAGTTGTGCAAGTGATCTTTGACTTTTTAAATAGTTTGAGTAACACTGAATATGACTATTAGTAATATTTAAAATTAGACAAACCAAAAATGTTTAATTAGTTTTTATATTCTTAATAAAATGTTCATTTCATCAGATAGTAACTCTGAATCAAATATTGAGGATGTTACTTCATCATTGATATTTATATTATCATTATTGTTTAAATTTTTTAATAAAAATATATTATTATTTTTATCCTTTTTTAAAAGTTCTCTTGCTTTTTCAAAGCTGGTATTGTTAAAAAGAAATAGTATCTCTATATCATTATTCAATATTTCATTATTACCAACTATACTTTTTACAACACTTCTTGATATAAGGCTTTTAGTTAAGACTATACTTTCTAAGTCTTTTATATTACAATTATCAAAAACATAATCATAATCATTAAAAATATCTTGTGAACTTGTTGTGAACATAATTTGAGATAAATTTGTATGACCATTTTGTATTTATAAAAAAAAAAGAATTTAAAAAAATAATAATATTTGTATAAAAAAAATCAATACTAAATATTTTTTGTTAAAAATTGGTATTAATTTTATAATGTAAGGGACAAACAAATTCTTTAACAATAGTAGATAATGAGTTTTTCAAAAATATCTTGACAGTAATGGTATGTATAAAATATTAAATTATAACACCTTCATTATAACTGAATATAAGTGTTTAATTATGATTCAAGAATATAAAAGTTTTAATATTAATAAAAAAAAAAAAAAATATGATGAACTTCATTTTCACCTTTTATTAAAAAAAAAAAAAAGTAATACTTTGAAAGCTTTTATTTGTATATATCGATATATTGACATTATACTTAGAAACCATGTTACTTTGACTTCAATTCTTTAAAAACTATAAGTACTATTTTGTATAAAATAAGACAATTAGAAAGAAAAATATGTATTGTTCAATTTATCTTAGAAGAAAAGGTAATGCTTTAAAAGCTTTTATATATATATGTTAATACATCAACATTACACTATACTTAGAAGTTATACTATTTCAGTTTAAGATTTTTTAAAAACTATAAATCCTATTTTGTATAAAATAAGACAATCAAAAAAAGAAATATGTATTGTTTAATTTATCTTAGAAGAGAATAATAACATGCTTAATTTAATAAGAACATTATATAGAAGGAATATTGGCTTTTGTGACAATTTTCTATGATAAATTGTAAGAAAATCAGCACATAGATTCTTTGTTGATACATTTCCCTACAAATTAAGAGGCAAATTTCACAAATTTCACAAATTTATTTCTCAGGGGTACAATCAAACCGAAGTTTGGGTTGTTACCTCTGAAAAAAATAAGCTCGGTCTCAAAAATTTTGATTACTTTGTCTTGAGATTCTTTAAAAACTACATGAGCTGTAATATTTAAAACATGATAATTTGCAAGAAAAAGTATAAAGGCTTTATATAGCTTAGCAAATTATAGCAGCATATCTTGCATTATAAAGGTGCTAGAATAAGTGCGAAATTTACTTCTAACAATGATTTCTATAGTGAACCATAAAAATTGTATGCATAAACCGATGTCGATCTATTAATTAATACGTTTGGCTGTAAATTAAGGGGACATATTTGTTGATCGTTAATATTTCAGTTTTTAATAATTTTCAATTAGTAGCTAAATTCGAATGATTTTAATACATAACATTTGATTCGTCTTATTAAGACGAATTGAATGTTACGTACTCAATCCGGCTATTAATGCTTAACTTGGTCATAATACGTACGCACGCACGTACCTGATCTCCCTTACAATTTTGTCATTTTTTGAACTTTCGAAAATCACTAAAATATCTCAATTCTCTTCCCAGCCTATCGGTGTTTCTCAATTATTAACGAAGTTATCATTAACTTCAGCCACGCCAAGTACCAGGTTTGATTATTCGGATCAAAAATTCTATTGTAAAATATAGAATGGTTTTTTCGTGTAACAATATGTTCAAGGAAATAACCAACCAAAAAAAACTTTGGGTTTCTGTGATTAAATATTGTAACACTATTTGTTACTGGTTTTTTTCGCCGTGGCAAGATGATCATCAGTTACCACAGATGCGACTTTCCGTATTTCGGATCGCCACGGTAATTGACGACAATACTGCATTAATTCAATGTAGTACGTATCTACAATTGATAACGATAAAGTTGATTAGATTTAACATTAATTGCAAAATTGGTAATAATAGATCTAATTACAGGATTATTAATAGATCTGATGTAATATATGTTATACCAAAACCGCGTTTGTCATGTAAATATCATTATAATGTATACATAAATAGACACCTTTTTTTTTCTTAACTTTTTATCTCTTCGAACAAATGGGTATGTAAACTATTTGCAAGATTTTACCTACTGAATTCGCTCGTAAAAACTAATATTTTCAACCACTATACATGGTTCAAAGGTAGGATACTTTTAAAGGGAAACGTTAAAGCACATATTACAGATTGGTTTAAAAGTTTCCAATTAAAAAATATCGGTACCGAAAGACAAACCAGTGCAGAAATCTTATTACCAAGGTTACAACATAAGGATTCCCAAAATCAAAAGACAGAAAGCGTTATACCCCGGCGTTCTCCAATCTTAACACACCGTCAACCGCCCCTTTCCACACTAAAGCCTACCGTAAATGCTAACCTTCCAGACATTACCAGGTCGTTTAAAGATCTAGAGAATGGTCTTTTAGACGTGTTCAATAATAATAAAATATGGGCAAATTCAGTGCGACTACTAGACAAAAAGTTCTTTGAAAATTTAGCAAATAACGAACAACAGCCAAAATTATTTTGGATTGGTAAGTATCGTTATCTTCTATATCAGACTCAATTCACGATTACTCTTGAAGATTGAAGAAGACGCCTTTCCTAATTTCCCTATAATTAGGGTCAATGTTCGTGAATTGGCGTACTCTAAAATCTTTGTGATCTTATTTTTTGTCACCTAATTTAACACAATTATACATCAATTTGTGTGCGCTACCATCAGGATGCTCAGATTCCCGTGTACCGGCGGAAATTATCGCAAAATTGGGTTTCGGGGAAATATTTGTGCACAGAAATATTGCGAATCAATTTAAAGATGATGACATTAATTGTATGTCTGAATTGGAGTTTGCGGTTCATAATTTAAAGGTCGAACACATTATAGTCTGTGGTAAGTTCTTGTTATTTCATTCATGAATATTGTCGCAAAAAGCAAAAAACACTTTGATTCAATATTATAATAATAGGACATACTAAATGCGGAGGTATTCAAAATGCTTATAAGGACCAAATTCTCCGTAATAATTTAAAAAGTTGGTTATCTGACATACGCAAAATCAAAGATTCTTATCCTGAACTTTTTCCTGATCAAATTACTGAATCTAAAATGGACAAAAGTGAAATAGATACCATTCATAAAAAATTAGTAAGTATTAACGTAATTACTCAAGTAAATAAAATTTCTGAAAACGTGGTTGTTAAAGAAGCATGGAAAGATGAAAAGCGAAAATTATCTGTTCATGGATGGATATTTAATATGGAGAACGGACATTTAGAAGACTTATATGTAACTAGAAATAAGTAATATAGCTTGTTTATGTAATTTTGTATTTTTAAAATATATTGTGTACCTTAAAGAAATTGTTTTAACGATTCGATACATTAAATACTGAAATAAATTTAAGATCTAGTTATTTTTGTGCTACATTAGTATATCATATGATATATATCCTATTACGTATATAAATGGTCAGTTTCTAAATTGCTGAGAAAAAATCGCGTAGTTTATCTTTAAAAAAATGTCTGGTAAAAAATCGGTTTCGTGTATATATTCTTTTACATCACACAAAATTTAATTTTGACGCGTCTTATTTGGATGCTTTTAGGATATTCATACACTCCGTCATTCAATGGGTCTTACACTGACGGCGATAATACCGGTGGCTTTATGAGTTCAACTGATTATGCTAGTGGATCACAAGAACAAAAGGTTTAAATTATTTGACACACTGCCCACGTCATTCCAATTATGTTTAAATATCCCGCATTTTTATTTGCAGCCTACCAGCGATCAACGTAAAAGAAGCGTTCGTCACGTAACTATTAAGCAACTTTTAAATGCAGTTACTCAACATTCTGATTCCGAGGATCAAATCGATGGCCACAAAATTGATATTGTATGTATTCTATACAATAATTGGCTTTTAACAATCTCGTTCAAAATTTCAATTTTTTTTTATCATTACAAAAGGTATGCATTATTGGCTCAATTAGAGATCTAAATGTTTCGAGTCAAAATGTCATTGAGTATAAAATAGATGATGGTACTGGTTTTATCGATGCAAAGGTTTGGTTTGAATCTGAAGAAAAAAAGGAAAGTTCGGCTACTTATAAAATCGGGTGATTATTTACCTAATTTTATTTTTAAAAAATAATATACTTGTTTCTCTAAACTATTTTTTATTCACTACATTTAGTGTCGATTCTTATGTTTGTGCATATGGTAATCTAAAAACTTTCAAAGGGAAACGTTTATTAAATTGTATACCATACGGTCTCCGGTTAGTCGAAGATTATAATGAAATTAGCAGCCATCTGTGTGAAGTAGTTTATGAACATTTGTCCTTAATTCGTTCCGATAGCAGTACTGTTCTAGTAAGTTATTCTTTTTTTTTCGTTAAAAAAAAAAAAAAAAACTTTATACACTAATTTTTTATTCTGATTTTAGCAAAGTTCCGTTGACAACAATAACAGTTATGTCGGTGGTTCTCATGTTTTCAATGACCCTTTACAAAAAGAGATACGTGATCTTGTTGTCAAGAGTGGTGATCCACATATGGGTCTCCCCATTGAGCGTATCTGCTCTGCGCTTGGTTTCCAATACGGGTCTGATAGTAAAATTAAGTAAGTAGCCTGAGCTTTTTAGATTTGCTTTACTATTCTGCTGATTTCTCATATTGACATATAAACAGGGACGCGATTGATACGATGATATCTGAAGGCATATTATACAATACTCAAGATGATAGTTATGTCGCAGTCTGTGGAGTTTAAGTTGATGTTTCGTTTAACCTATTTTCTTTATATTAATAAATTTATTAGTTTATTGTGAAATTCGGTCTAGTAACGACAAACAAATAGCGTAATTGAGTATTACCGTAAGTTGTCGCAAAAATCACCTGGTCTTTTACATTTCACTCTCTTATTTAAGTAAAAAAAAAAAGAAAATTATTAATATAAATCACGTGGTCTTTCATAAAAGGGTGGTTTATGTGACAATTTATGGTATTATATTATCCTTTAATTTGTAGGTTTTTTTAAACAAATTTGTTTGGAAAATTATTAAAAATTTGCTTTTGACAAATTTTATTTGATAATATTTGAAAATAAGAATTTTATAATAGTAATATTAAAAAAAAACCATTGTAGAATTATAAAGATTAATCAAATATATAAAGACAAAAAAAGGTTAAAAAATGGTAAAAGAAGAAAAAAATAAGACAAATGAATAAATAAAACATTAAGCATGAAAATAGGTATAAAGTTATTAAAATTATAAAGATAATAGTCAAATGTTTAAATAGAAAATATGAAAGGTTGATAGAAATTATTGTAAAAAAAAAATAAAACAAATACAAAGAAGATAAATAAAAAAAATATATAAAATAATTAAAATAAATTAAAAAAAAATAATAATTAGTCTTTTAAACAAATTTTACAAAAAAAAAAAAAATAGTATTTAATAGATTTATTAAACAAGTAAAAGAAAAAATATGTTTAGTAATAAAGTTAAAAAAGATTAAAATAGGTACAATAAAATATTATAAAAAACAATTTAAGATAAGAAATATTAAATTAAAAAAGATGTTAAAAAAATAGAAGAAAATATATAAGTTATAAAAAAGTATTAAAAAGAAATAGTATGCAAAAATTAAAAAAGAAATAAAAAAGAAGAAATAAAAAAAAATATTAAAAGAATTAAAAACAAGAACAGTTTCTGATATATCAAATATAAGTTATATATTAATTAAATAAATAAAAAAGAAATATAATAAAAAAATAAATATTTAAGCTTTTTACTACTTAGTCAACTTGCATGCAAATATTTATTTATTCCTGTAGCTTTATTTCTATTAGAACAGTTATTTTCTGATGTAAATAATTATATATCAGCTAAAAAAACTTATCTTAATACTAATTTAGTAGATAAAATGTTATTTTTAAAAAGAAATTTATATTTGCATTCTATATTCTATCTAATTTTTAATTTTTTATTAATTTAAACTAATTTTAATATAAATTTAATATTAATATTACATAAAAATTAAATGTTTTAACTGTTTGTAATAATTATCTACCATTCATAAGAATATAATTCTCAAAATTTTTTTCATATAGCTTTAGTATAGAATCTCTTAACTTATTAGCAACATTTTTAATCTTTTACTATTTTAATACTGTAATGTAATTTGTAATGTTTTTAATTTAAATATTAAATTTTATTAAAATTAGTAATTTCTATATTAATAACTTTTATACAATAATTTAAAAAAAATACTTAACATTATACTTATTATATTGATATAAAAAGATAGTTTTAAGAGTGTGATGATCTAGTGAAGTGGTCAGGTTGTCAATCCTCCAAGTGGTAGGTTGGATGTTCAAATCTTATTAACAGTGAAAATTTGAATAATCATCTATATAATATTCATATTATGGCAACTGTTAATAACAATTAGATTAGGATACCTGTAATAGTGGTTGCACTAGCATAACTGGCAGGTCATAGGACATTCGTATAACAAGTCATGTGACATTGTCCTTTGGAACAAGGTCTATAGTTATACAAAGGAATGCAAACCAACAATTAGGCAATGCAAATACTAGATAAGTTCTTGTGACTATATAAATTTATTGAAATTGGATAACAAGATGTCTATTTGGGAAGATCTGAGTAGAGAGGTAGTTGGATCTTTGATAGCCCTACTGTAAAGGCTAGCCTGGAAAAACAGATACCAAGGTCATAATATCCAGTTGTAGTAGCCAGACAGACAAGAACCTCTGGGTTGGAAGTCTTAAAGGTACTACCAACTAGGCCATCAAAATGAACTAAAAAAAAAGAATATTAGACCAACCTGATATACTGATAAACTGGTTGTAGTTCTACATAAGCTATCTGAATTAGAAGTTTAGTAAAAAGGTAGGTGAAAAGACAAAGGTATACTAAAGTACTGGAGTTATGCTGTGAAATAGATGCTAAAGTCTAAGTGAATTCTATAAGAGCATAGTGATTTAATGATTAAGTCCTAACTGCAAATATTGGTTCTGTCATAGTAATAACTAGGTTAGCTATAAAAATAGATACAGAAGACTCTGAAAGGTTTATCTCAAGGATAAAATAGTTCTAAGATTGAGATGATGATTTGAACATCATATATGATTCAGTAAAGTTAACAGATTTGCAGATTTAGAGAGTTTAAAGTAGAATATCCAAGCAGGGATGTTAGGTATAGCAATTAATAGAGAACCTTTAGGCAGACTCCTTAAATAAATAATATAGAAAAGTTATATATGTAGTTAATTGTACACTTTTTCTGTAATGGTTTACTGAAGCATATTTACTATTATTAAATAAAGTCAAAAGATTCAAAAAGTTACCTTAACATCAAAAAAAAAAAAAAAAAGGTTTACTAGTACTATATTGGATTTATAACTTTGTTAAAAATATGTTGCCTATACTTTATAATATATACTTAGTTTTAAAATAATATCTGCAACTTTTGTTAATTCTAAAATTCAATTTCAAAATAATTTAAAAATATATTAAGGCTAAATAAAACTCAAAAAAAGGTAAAGTGTTATAAGTGAAGTATTTAATATAAAAAAAATACCAAAGACAAGACTCTAAGTGTTAATGATAACTTAAATACAAGTTAATTAAAAACTTAATTATAAAGTTTATTATATGATTTTTGTTATAAAACACTTATAGAAATAGATATTCTAAAATTACTGTTTTATGCTTAATATTTATTTCTTTTTCTTCTTAAGAATAAAACTATTAACAAGGCACATTCTGTTAACTAATCACATAACTTGTTAACTAGTTAAATTCAGATTTAATTGTTAATTCAGATTTAATAATTATATTCAGATTTAATTATTAATCTGGATTTAATCATTAAATTATATTTAACAAGTAAATCTGAATGCAGATATTAACTCTAATTGTAATAACAAATTAAAATATTAACAATATTATATATACAAATGTTTATAGTTTTATCAATTATAATAGCTACTGATTTATTAAAAAATTTGTCTTGCAACTTTTTTAAATATTTATTCAAAAATTTTGTTAACTATAATCAATGATAATAATCACCAAGTTATGTGATATATAAAAATGCACAAAAAAGATTATACAAAATTAATAAATAATTATATAAATTTATATACATATTTGTGTAACTTTTATATAAAACAAATACTTCATAAATAAGTACTATATATAAAGTAGTATAGTCAAATTAATAAATTAATAACATGTTTCTTATATTTAGACATATTATAGCTGATTAGACTCTATAAACTAATACTTAAATTATTTATATAAACCTATAACTCTAATATACTAACATAATATATAATTCTAACTCTAACTGTAACTATATGCTAACACAAGTATATTCTAACTCTAACCTTAACTACATACTAACAGAAAGTATTTTTCTAATTCTAACTTTAACTAGCATAACTTACTAATAGGTTATCATATTTGTATATATATTATATACTTGTTTTGTTTTAAATTATACATAACTTCTTTGTATTTTTTACTAAACTACATATGCAACATTATCTGTAGATTCATAGAAAATATTTATCTAATTGGCTTATTTATATATATTAATTTAAACATAACTATTAACCAACCAACTTGTATTTCTGTATTTATAGTGCTTGTTTTTCAAATAAAATATTTAACTTTGAATTATTTGAAATTATTTTATACAGTGACTATTAATATCAAAATAAACTATTATCAAACTTAGTATCTATAGTTATGAAATATTGAATTGTTATATCTTTAGAAATACTTTGAACTATATAAATTAGTTATCCAGATAATATATTTGAATTAGTTAATCAAACAAATGCCTTTTTATGAACCTTATATAAGTTCTGCTAAGAGAAAGCCAGAAATTAGGTTTTTAATTATTATTAGTGCCAAATACTATTTATTTAATTTGCTAGAAACAGTGGTTGGCACCAAAGATAATTAAAAGTCTGATTTCTGGCTTTTTTTTAATGACACTTATATACAAAGAAATTTAGCATAAGATATAATCAAAACAATATAATAGTATAATTCATTAAAAACAATAACAAATAAAAAGCATTAAATAATCAAAGTATATAAGTTAATTTTTATAAATAATAAACAAAAGCAAGTTATAATGCAAGACATATAGATTAATTCATATAAATAATAAACAAAAGGCAAGCTAATTAGTACTTATTACAGCTTCTAGAATTGTGCTCAGATTTACTACAAGCTTGACAAATATATTTGCATTTGCTTTTATTATTATTTGTTTGTATTATTGAAAATTTTAGTTGAAAGATCTTTATTTATCTTATACAACTCTTTAATATTTATAAGTTCTAAGAAAACTTTTAATACCGATGCATTATTTGATTATTTAGTTAATCATATGCATAAATTATAATTAGGTAAATTAAGTGCACTATTGGTAGTTCTATTATGTTGTATATTGCTTTTTGATAATGCTTTGATTTATTTGTTTGATAGATGTTCATGAAACTTAATAACTATAAGATTTGATATTTGCATTTGCATATTTTTTTTATTTGTATTTTTGATACTGCTTTTCTTATGATCAAATAAATCTATTGATTATATTAATGAATTCATCTTCATACTTCAAATTAAAAGCCATATTAAGTGCCTTTTTAACTTTTTTGAAGCTATGTAAATATTTAGTTTTTTTTTGAACATATCATTGTATTTTAGCAGTAAATACATATAA